TGGAGATTGATTTCAAGCAAAAATTAAAGTTTTATTAGGAAAATACTGTGTATGAAGCAGAATTAGCTCAGAGCATTTGGGCTGGAATTGCAAAACAAAGCACTGTGGACCTGTATGGTCAAGACAAGGGTCCTGCTTGTTCCATTTGGGTGATTTGGGGTCTGGGATGATGCCTGGATATCATACACAGGAGGCTGATGATCTTCATTCCCACCCAGTTTCATCTTCAATAAATAAAGCAGAAGTGAGTGTTCTGCAGGCTTGAAAGCACCATGCAATAAGATGAAATATTGACACAATTTTAAGTCAATAAGATTTCTTTTCAGTGATTTAATGAGATTTCACCAGGATTTCACTAGTAATTGCCAGCCTCACATAATGCCTGCTTTGCTCACCCTTGAGCTGTTCCTAAATGAGTTTCTCCTTTGAGGTGGGGCCTGTTCCCCACCAAAGCTGTGTCCAGGCTGGGGGACAGAGGGAACTCTGGGTTCCCACGTCAGGGGCTGGCATTGGTGGCTGTCAGGAGGGTTCAGCTGTCAGGAGCTTTCTCAGCCCCGTGGGTTCCATGGTTCTGTTCTGGCTTTGGCCATTCTGAAGGCAGGAACTCTCCAGCCAGGTTTGTTTGTAAACTCCTCGCTGGCCAGTGATGGGGAATTTGATACCTTATCAAGTGAGATACTGGGATTGAAAAGGGGAGAGTGAGGCAGCCAGGAGGAGAGATTGCAATATAATAAATAGCAGAGATAGGCTGAGCTGCTATCAGGGGAAGTTTAATGCCATTAGCCCGTGTGCTGTTGGGAATGATGTATGCAGGGAATGATGTGGGCAGGGCAAAGCACCCAAAGGCTCCTGGCAGCAACCAGCCCATTGCCATGTCACACTCTCCAGAGTCACTCTGCAAGGTGTAAAAGTACCCAGAACTTAATTCTGCCTTGAAAAAAATATTGAATTCTTTTACTCTGCTACATGTGCTGTCTGCTGATGCCCTGGCAAGAGGAACAGGAAGGGCCATGACAATAAATCTTGTTTTTCTTGAAACAGTTTTGTTTTACATCAGAGAGGGACAGAGCCAGGGATTTACAGGAGGAAGGAACCTGCCTGCTCAAGCCAGGTCCCCTTTTCTACCCCCACATCCTGAATAACCTGAGTCACGCTCTGCGTGTTCAGCTTTACCTGGAACCCATTCTATCAATGTCTGTATTGAAATTGGGGGGAATTTGTGGGTTCCACTGCAGCACAGAGCAGGTGATGGTGCAAGGACCTCCCCTGCCTGATGCAGGCAGAGTGATCACCCATGGGCTGCAGTGGTGGCTGCTGGATCCCAGCTGGGTGTCTGGATATCAATGCTCTTGCCAGATGTGCGCTGCTACCACGGAGAAGGAGTGAAAAGGGAGGAAAGATAAAACTACAGCTTCCCCAGCCCTACATTTTTTTTTAACAAGCAAACTTTCAGTGCAGTTAATCCCTCTAACCTGCATTTGCATTAACACTTGCAGCCTCACACGTTGCTGCTAAGAAGTTTTGGCAGCTCCTGGCCCTGATTGCAGAGGTAACACTGCACTTGTCTCCTTTGCTCTCACTCAAGGATCTCAGGAGCCAGAGCCCAGCACTCCATGAAGTTTCTCCCTGTACACACAAGCAGGCATCTTGGCAGAGCTTCAAAAGCCATTTGCCTTATTATTCATATGTCTGCTTATAGGAGCAGAAATGCTCCCATTTCTCACTTTTGGAATAAGGGCTGACACCAGGAAAGAGGAGATTTCTCATCTCTGGCACAGCCCTGCAAACCTGTGGGAGCTCATTGTGTCCCTGCTGCTTCCCTGGGGTTTGGGAAGCAGGTTTAAAAGTCCTGATCACTCTCAGGGTACATGAACAGCTCTGTCAAAAACAACTGAAATCCGTGGGGTCTTGGAGAGGGGGTCTCAGGGCTGCAAGAAACTGCAGAAGGATGACTTGGGGGAAAAAAGCTTTTAAAAAACCCCAAATTTTGCTTTTCCTCCTGCCTTGAGGAGAGCTGACATCATGAAAATGCTGTAGAGATTTAAACATCATCGCAATTACTTCGCCTCCTCCCTGCATTTTCTCAAACAAGCTTCAAGAACCCTCTCTTTAAAACAAATTAGTAGACTGGAGCAGCCTTATAAATACAGAGAGCCATTAAAAGTTGAAATATTTGGTCATTCCTCGTCTGGGTTGGAACTGGGACTCATCCAGAGTTCAAGTGTGGGCATCACAGAGAGCCACGGTCCTGTTGTGTTGAGGTCCCTCTCAGTGTTGATGGTTCTCTAGTGCCAGGAATCCACTCCCCTGCTTTGCAGAGATCCCTCTCAGTGTTTTCTAGAGGTCCTTCTCAGTGTTGATGATGTTCTAGTGCCAGGAATCCACTCTCCTGTTTTGCAGAGATCCATTTCAGTGTTGATGATGTTCTAGTGCCAGGAATCCACTCCCCATTTTCTAGAGGTCCCTCTCATTGTTAATGGTTTTGATGGTTTTCTGGTACCAGGCATCCACTCCCCCATTTTCTAGAGGTCCCTCTCAGTGTTGATGGTTTTGGTTTTCTAGTGCCAGGAATCCACTCCCCTGTTTTGCAGAGATCCCTCTCAGTGTTTTCTAGAGGTCCCTCTCAGTGCTGATGGTTTTGGTTTTCTGGTGCCAGGAATCCACTCGCCCATTTTCTAGAGGTCCCTCTCATTGTTAATGGTTTTGATGGTTTTCTAGTGCCAGGAATCCACTCCCCCGTTTTGCAGAGGTCCATCTCAGTGTTTTCTCGAGGTCCATCTCAGTGTTGATTGTTCTCTAGTGCCAGGAATCCACTCTGCAGCCAGGCCAGCAGATAAATCACCGCCGATGAAATTCAGGAGCCAGGAGTCACCAGTGCAGCCCATATAAATCCCTGAATGCCAGCCCTGGCGCTGCAGCCCGTGCCATTAGAGCTCAGAATTATCAGCCCCTCTTTGCTGATGGATGGATTCGCTGGCTGGCCGAGTGTTTACCATCGTTATCAGCCCGTGCTCGGGGCGTTATCAGAGGAAGGGCCGCCTGCCGCGGGGCTTGGTCTCTCACCCTTTCTATTACCACCTGTCAGTGGCAGGGGGTGTGCTGTGAGGCTGTACAGTCACAGACTACAAGTGTAGATAGTTTCTGACGGCTGATCAAAGGGGAAAACCAAAGGGCTGATAACAAGGACGTGTTTCATGTACTTTTAACTCTGAGAAACATTGGCATTTGCATTTTTTCCCCTCGCTAGGCTGGCAGAAACCAGGCACAATAAACGCTGCATATTCAGTTACCTAATAGTGGAGTAAATGGTATGTGCTTGAAGGAACAAAGCATAACTGTAATCTTGTTCCAAGTGGGAATGATTTAAGTAAGCCTTTGCAGAAGACTTGCTGTATAATAAAGGAGAATAATTTTAATTTGTACTTTGAAGTGATCCTGAATTCAGAATCTAATCTTTGCATTCGGCAGAACATCATACCCTGCTGCGAATGAGGTAATAACTGCAAGTCAGAGAATTATTTGAAGGATCTTTTGTAGGTACGTGCACTCCCTCACAAGAGGCAGAGTCTTCAGTAGGGGCTGCTGGTGAAAAAGCCTCTGTTAGAGCACGTTTGAGCTAAAACTTCCCAGTGCAGGAGCAGAGAAAACCCACAGATATCCCAGACTGAGGGAAGGCATCCATTTGTTCCTTTGTCAGACACAAGGCAGCTCTGCCTCTTCTCTGTTTCAGAGCAAGAACGGGAATTTAGGTAAAATTTCTGCCCATTAGCAAGGACAAAATGACTGTTTCCATTGTTCAAGATGAGGAGGGGGAAGAAGCATCTTAGCAGCATTGCAGTGGAAGTTTAATCAACTTAAAAAATAATTCCTATTTGTCTAACATAAAAATACATGCATGCCATTCACATTTGTGTTATTTGCTGCTTTCCTGACTCTCACCAGTCTGTATTTTAATTTCAGTATGTATTCATTATGTATTTTAATACCAATCTATATTTTAATTTCACCTTTTTGATTACAGCTGCTTGTTGGCTCACACTTAGGGCTCTACTGTGCTGTGCTGTAACACCAACCTTTAACTCATGTGCTAAAATCAACTTTTCAGGCACCCAAAACACAGCACACACAGGAGGAGGTTGGTGCCAGGGTGTCTGTTATAGATGGATAATGAGATGATTGGCTCTCACAATTAAAAGATAACTATTGTGTGAATATTAAGAAAAGCTTTAGTGATGTATTTGATGTTATTGTAGTTTAGATGTCCTCTGTTCTCCCCATGGTTCTCTTTTCCCCCTCTATTGTTGCCATCAGACAGCCTGGGCTGTCTAGGACAGGTACAAAGAAGGCTGCACATGTGTCCCTTACCTGGGGCACTGTCACTCTTGCACCAGGGTTGGGGCAGGATCGTAGCAAAGGCAAGGAAGGCTTTATTCAAAAGAACCGCGCGGTTTTTATAGAGTGGTACAATAGATTCTGTTCTATTGGTGAACTAACAGAAACATCTTTCTCACACCCTGTCCTTGAGAGGAACAGAAAAATAAAGTAGAAAAACACCACCTGCAAATTGTTTATAGTCAACAAGTTATCCCATCTTTCCAGCTCCCTAAAACTTCTCACAAGCTGCTGTGAGAAACGCTATTTGCCATTTCTCTCTCTCTCTGTCCCATGGCATCCACAGGGCAGGTGGGAATGGCATGGCAACACCTGAGCTCCAATCCAGTTACAAAGCAGTGTCCACTGATAAATGGCAAAGATTTAGATAGACTGACAGACTTTGGGAGGGGCCAGGGCTGGCTGATCCAACCCCAGGGGTATAAAAGCCTGAGCATCCCTCTTGAAGATGAACCAGCCACGTGGTGTGCACGAGGGGCAGCTCCCAGCACTGCGAATTTTTTCCTTTGTTGCATTTTTGTCACGGTTTAATAAACCCTTTGAAATTTTCAAGGCGAGCGGTGGCTTCCCCCAGTGTCCCACACGTGTCCCCTCTGTGTCTGTCACAGGTGCCTTCGACCGGAGCGTGACGCTGCTGGAGGTGTGTGGGAGCTGGCCCGAGAGCTTCGGTCTGCGCCACATGTCCTCCATGGAGCCCAGCGAGGAGGGGCTGCGCGAGCGCCTGGCCGACGCCATGTGCGAGTCCCCCAGCAGGGACATGGTGGGATCAGGAACAGGTACAAAGAAGAGGTGTGATCAGAGATCACGTACATCTCACCCAATGGTGATTTTGATTTAATTTTTTTTTTTTTTTTAAGTTTCGCTTTTTCTTCTCTGTACGCTCCTCTCTCTCTCTCTCCCTCTCTCTCTCTCTCTCTCTCTTTCTCTCTATTTGTGGGGATCTCAGAAGTCATTTCTAAAAGGAAGTTAGTGGTAGATCACATAAACACAATCTGAGATATTGGCACATGAAGCTTCCTTATCATATAGCTGGGACAAGGGCTCTGCTGCATCCCCTCCAGTGCAGATTGCTGCCCTGCTCCAAACAATGCCATAATCACACATATCCTCATTTTGTGTCGTGAATGGAGCCACTGTGAAGCGCTGGTTCTGTAATCCAAATTAATCCATCTTCATCAGTGTCCATTATATTGATAAATTGTATCATCTGTTTAAGTAAATGGAATGGCACATCAGAGATTAGGCTGTCAGGAGGGGCCCCGTGGTAGGAGATGCTCAGGAATTAAAGCACAGTTACTGCAGGTTTATTGTCCCCATCAATTTCGACTTGTTCCAAAAAACACCTCCAGTAAAAACACCTCAGAGTGATGGTGGCCCCTAACATCAGCTGCCAACTCACTTGTCACTCTCCTGGCAGCTTCCCTGGGAAGGCAAAAGAGGAGAAACCAGCAGAAAGGTGTGGGAATGCCCACCTATGGATCTTTCAGGAAGAGCAGGGGCTGTCTCTTCCTTTTGCTCTTGCCCTCGTGTATCACTGGGGGCCTTGTGCTGCTCTGAGCTCTCTCTGCTCCTCAAGAAGTCTCTCCCATCAGGGCTCATCCTGACTTTGCTCACTGTGGAGCAGGGAACTGCAGCAGCTTCCCAGAGCCTGGAGGAGGAGGATGTGAGGAGCAGGATTTTAGCCCTTGTCTGTAGGTCCAGGCAGCAGTAACCAGGCTGAGCAGTGCAGAAACCCCTTCATAACCCAGCTGGTCACCTTGCCAGCTGTCCTTCCTCTGATTCCCATCTTGAGAGAGACTAAACCAAAGGATGAGTTAGATTTGGAATTAACAGAAAGGCTTGGTTGAGCACTAAGGGTGTGTCTGCTGCAGCTCTGGTGCAAATCCTCACCAGCTTTTTGGCTTGGCCAGGGCACTTCAGGAGTCCATGACTGCAAAGCTCCACCAGTGCACTGAGGATAGAGATGCCTCACATTGCTGGTGTGGACTTCAATCAGCTCATGTCTGTAAAGGGCTGGGAAGGTGGAAAAAGCAGCCTATGAAAATAGAGAAAAGCACATATTTCATCACTCACTGACCCAGGCTGTGATCAGTGTGAACTTTGGGAGGGTATCCACTGCTGATAATGGGTCAGCACCCCTCAGGCTGTGTGTGGAAGGGGAAAGGTGAGGGGAATACCTCCTCTGAAAGCTGAAGCCTTCCAGATGTGCCAGGTTAGGGTGACTGACTGGCCTGGAGACTTGACAGTGTATTATATTGTAAACCAAGGACTTTGTCAGAGACAGGGCTCTGTATTTTCCTTCCATTTTCACCAAATCCAGCTGATGGCAGCCAGTGCCAGCTTCTTTGGCATAAGATGAGGCTCACAGTCCTGCAGGTGTAAAGACAGAAAGGAGCTGTTTATAGAGATGCCATCACTGAGTTAATATTCATCCAGAGAGATTTCTCCCAGCCCTTGCTCCAGCCCCATAAATCTCCCTAATGAGTGTAAGATAGATGCCATCTCAGAGCAGCGATTTTACGCAGCAATAATGAGTAACATGAGCACTGACCCAGCTCACCCCATCCCAGCACCCTCCTCTCCCTGTCATTAACACTCTCTGCTGTCCTGGGACTCTCTCCACCACTAACACACTTTATTCTCAGGATTTGGGCATGTGGTGACTCAGAGCAGCAGAGAAAACCTGGTGATAAGAGGGTGAACTCCCGTGCCCTTTCCACTTCCATCCCCTAACAGCTCTTGAGCTGTTCCTCTTTAGCAGACAGACAGAAAAAGTTCTCTCCTGCTCAGATGTACCTGGAGAGCTGCATTCACTGAGGGAGAGGGCTGGAGCTGGCTGCCAGCACCATTCCACCACAGGGCTCTCATCTGTCTGCTGCTTAATAAATGGGCAGAGATAAGTGGGGAGCTGCATTACCCTCCCTTCAAAAAAGACGTGTCTTTGTTGGCTCATAACAAGTAGGAGAGTTTTCACTTCCCTCAAACCACTTATATCATAACCAAGCCTGGCTGAACTGAATTATCTTTGAAAAAACTCAATTTTCCTCCTTGGGTTCTCTGCTGCCCACTCACCACAGTGAAATGACAGCAAAGAGTTCAGCAGAAAGGACACTGGAAGTTTGTTTGTTGGTTGTTGATTTCTGTCTTGCTGCTTCTTTCAAAACCAGTGTTTATATTTCTGCATTGGACTCAAAATTGTGGAATTTATAATCCTTTTAATATTCCTAAAAAAATTTATTCATGCCTTTATGTTTTGCATGCTTTAACCCCTGATTGTGTCCCATGGATTCTCTTCAGTCCTTAAATAGATTTTGCAGAGATTTAACAAAACTTGCAAAATCCTACTCAAACTTCAGCACAAATTAATGAACATTTCTAGCTGGGAATGTGCAGATTTGTGCATGGCAGTGCTGGGGTCCAATGTGTGGACACAAACTGGGCAGTAGGGTGGACAGTGAGACTTCATCAAGTGCTCGACTGGTCCTGACATGCACTTAATGGCAGGAGATAAATAGATTCTTTTAATGCCTTAACTGTTAGGGCATAGCTGACACGTAGGTTTATATAGAAATCAGGGCTGATAGGCTGCAGGGGTGTGCAGGAAGTGTGTGCTCTGGGCAGCTGGCATTCCCACAATCTCTGTTCTCTACCTGCCCTGTTGCACTGGGGCTGGCAGCACTAACCCTGGCTCTGGCTACTGCAGAGGCAGAAATACCCCAGGGTTGGTCACAGCACAAATATCCAGCTGGAGGATGCTGAAAACATCAGGAATAATCTGGCATTTGCAGGAAGGGGGATTAGATGGGGCCGTTCCACCTCTGACTCCGTGCCAAGGGCTGTCGGACAGAGGGTGGGAGAAGAACCAGGGCTGGAAACAGCCCCCAAAAACCTCCTTTCCTTGTGACCTAAATGATAACTGCAGTTGTCCAGCTAGTTGGCTTGATTGGGAAACCAGCTTTTCCCCTTGTTATCCAATTATTCAGATGACCCATGTCTATCTGAAGTGGAGTCTGCTGTACATAAGCTGTCAGCCCAGATACACATTTAATTCCAAGAAAGGCATAAATTGGCCAAGATGCAAAAAAGATGTTTTTGCTGTTCCAGTTTCTGTCAAACTCGCACTGAAAAGAAAAAAATTATTCAAGTCTAGACACAAATGTTAGTGGTCAGTGCCCTCTTTTGCTTGCAAAGCTTTGTTTTCAAGCAGCTACAATATTTACATTACAGTGCAGTTCTCAAGTGTGTGCTGGAGCTTCATATTGCATTCCCTCCCCAAAAAAAAACCACCCTAGGACTGTGATTTATGAAACTCTGCTTCCAGAAGACAAATCTCTCTGACAGGATTCCACTCAGACTGGACAGGAAGAAATTATCAGCTCAGGCTAGAAATCTTTCCCTCCAAAAATACTGTAATTAATAAATCCTCTGCTTCACCCATTCCTTCAGCAAGTTCATTTTTTAAGCTTTCCAGTGTATTTTGATCACTTCTAGGCTTAATATTTGAAATCAGCCTGTAGTAGGGGAGCAGCAGGATGTTTTTTGAGATGCATCTTTCTCCCAAAACTCCTGCAAGCCTCCAAGTCAACCTTACCCACGGGAGGCGGGTGGCACAGGGAGGAGCACCTCTGGCCTTCAGAGGAAACTGCCTGGATTCCTTCCAAATGTCATCAACAGACTCATAATGCGCTGAAGGAAGCTCACATGTTGAAGCAAACTCTTTAACCTGATTAATGGGATGTAAGTAAGTGGAGCTAATTAGATGTGCTGTTAGGGAATGGCCTGTAGGACACCCAGGACTGGGGCTCTGGGCACTTTGGGTCCTGGTCCCCAGCCAAAGCCCAAAGGCTGAGCCTAACTTGGGTCTGGACACCTTTGAGCTTTGCAGAGGGGTGGTTTTGGAACCTTCCTGTGAGATTTGGGCGCTGGAAAAGGGAAGTCACACATTTCCTGGAGTGCCTGGCTGAGGTGGGAAGCAAAGGGAGCAAGGTGGCTCCTGTTCAAGGACCATCCTCCCTGGGGTTCTGTCCAGAGGAGAAAATTTCTGTGCTCACAAGCTTTATTCAAAGATCAGCAGCCACCTGGACAGTGATGTACCTGTACATTCAGGAATAGGATTAGCCCTTTCTAGAGGTAGAGCTTTCAGTGGTACCTTCCCCTCCCTCTCTCCTTCCCTCCCTCCCTTCTTTCCTTTCCTCCTTCCTTCCTCTTTAATTTTTCTAAGACAATTTTCTCCTTGTCTCTCCTCAGCTGTGTTTTATCCTAACTCAGACATGGGCTATAGATGCACAGAGCAAATTATTTTCCCCCTGAAGAGCATTTCTGCCAGGAGATTTCTGCATAGGTTCAGTGCAAAACCAGCTTGGGCAGCAAACCCAGTGGTGGATCAAATAACATCGATGCTAAAAGCAGCCTTTGAACTTTCACAATATTCATCCCAGGGTCAGAGATTAAATTACCCCCTCCAATAAGTCTGGGAGCTCAGTGCAGTTCTTCCTACAAAAGGTTTATTTGGATGGGCCTGGTTGAAAAGAAAGGAAAATTCAGGCTCTTTAGGAGCCACCATTTGGGAAGTGCTGGATGAGAGGAGCATTGGCCTTGTGCACATTTTGGGATTTCAGGCACTTCAGTGTGGGATTTTTACTCTCCTGTCCAAGGGTGTCCCTGAGCAGCCCCATCCCACAGCTCTGGGCAGGTCCAACAAGGGCATTTTTAATTTCCCAGTCATTTCCCATGTCTCCAAATCCAATCTTGCCACCAGCCCTGGGAGGTTTTACTGGAATTTCTTCCAGGTCATACATTATTTAAGGGGGAGGGGGTGTGAATGCTGATACCATGAATATTTCTGATGTGAATTCAGGTTCATTGCTGTTTGTAGAAAAATTCTAAAGGGAGCACTGATGCCACAAGACACCTCTGACTTTCTGCCATTTGATAACAATCTTGATCAACTGCATTTGCTTATTATCAACTGTGGTGTGGGGAGATTCCTTTTCTTTTTCTTCTTATTAAATCAAGGCCTTTTTATTTAAGAAATATTTTATTTTTGATACAGACACAGCCGGTGAAGTAGCAGTAAAAAACATCACCACAAAGAGGCACATGGCTTTGAAATGTTTTGGTATGTAACATAACTGTATTGTTATCAGGTCTTAACTTTTGCACAGAGAGTATTTTCCCTTGTTCTAAAAGCAAACCCTCTCTCAGCTTTCCAAGGGCCACATACCTAACATGGCCATAGGGGGACAAACCAAAAAATATCAAAGTGTCTCAAGTCATTTCACAAATAACATTGTTCTGTTGCTCTCCTTAAATGAACAAGAGTTTCTTTGATTTTTTTTTTTTTAAAGTCAAATTTAGGATTCTGCTGTTCAGAGCAGAGAGGTCACAAGGCCCTAATGTATTTAGCATTGACTGCCCTCTCTTGTAGTGCGTCTATTAGTCAGTAATTTGATTTGTACCTATTCATTTGCAGTCCCTGCAGGAGCTCTGAGCTGGCCCCAAGTATAATTGGTGCTGTCTCTATTTTTACATCATTAGATTAGCCCCGACTCCTGGCCACTTGTTGTCTGCGCTTGTCTGTCCATTTATACAACCTAATGTAACACAAAATTCATTACTGATCACATTACTTTCAACTCTGAAGCCAGCTTTGTGATAAACATTTTGTTAACCCTTCCCTGCCAGCACACAGACCTGGGGGATAAATGCACTTTCCCCTCTGCAGGAAAAATCAATATCATAATAAAACAAAGTGCAGTCACATTCCTGGATTTGTCATTCCTCCCAGAGAAAGAATTGGGGAGGAACATATAGGAGATGACTAAATGGTGTCTGCATCCAGGCATCTCCCTCTGCTCGATATGAAATGAGCTCAGCACTGTCCTTTCCACTGGAATATAAAGAAGTGACACGAGATAGGGCCAGCACTCAATTTAAAACTTAATTTCTTACTCATTGTTCTGCAAGTGTTTTAGCTCTTCTGGTCAGGCTCTAATCAGGTTATGACATTATTGGAACTGGACATTTTTCTTCCAGTGCTTTGTCTCAAAAGCAGTGAACAGAGACACAGTTCCCTTTTTTCCTTGCAGATTTGCTGCTGTGTTGGGTTTTTTTTTGTTGTTGTTTGCTTGGGGTTGTGGTTTTTCCTCCTAATGATTAAGCAAATTAACTGCAGCACTCCAGAATTTCACAGGAAAACTCAAAGCTCTGTCCTGTCTAGCTTGGCTTTGCTCACATTTAATTGTCTGCTGAGTCCCTCCTAAAGCATGAAGCTTTTTGCATCCCTGAGGCTTCTGCTGGTGATTCCAGGGGCAGCAGGAGGAGAGCCATGGTAGGTGTTCCACCAGGGCTGAGCATCCTCCAGCTCTGCTTGCAGCATCCTGCCCACGAGGTGATTCCTGCTACCCAAACATGTTTTGGTGCACGCAAAAGCTGTTGGGTTTTTAACAAGTTTTCTAAATTCATTTTCTGTTTGCACAGCTTGGCTTGGAAATCTGTTATTTTGGGTTTTCTAAATATTTAGAAATATTTCTCAGTGTTTATTAAATCTTCCCTTTAAAAGTCTGAGGCCTGAAGCCTGCCCCACACCGAGCGGTCCCACACTGGGAAGGGGGCAGGAGACAAGGGGATTTTTCCATCTGTAATTCCTATAATTACCTTGTCATTCCTTTTAGGAGTCTTTCTATGGTGTTTTTGTGTAGGATATGACTTATGGCAAGCATATCTCTCTCAGTAAGTATAAGAGCCCTCGGGTCCCAGCATTTGAACCAGGACTGGTATTTTTACAGCTGTTTTGTGAGCCAAAACCTCTTGCAGCTGCTGAGGTGGTGGCAGAATAAAGACAAGACAGTTCCTGTCCCTCCTCCCAAGCCCAGCAGCCCCAGAGAGCCGTTGAGTATTTGCTGATTTTTGGGATGTGCAGCACAGGCCATCACAGAGCTCTCATAAACTATGCATTGCCCTCTCCAGGGGAGATGGGAGAGCAGGCTGTGGAATGGAAACCCATTTGTGCAATAAATTGTTAAGCAGTCAAACTGTTAAATGAACACTTATTAGAGAGGTAGGGTGAAGTATGAGTCACCAAACAGCAAAATACACATTAACACAGCAAACCCTCTCCAGTAAATGGGAAGTCAAGAGCCAAGGCAATGCAAAGGTTGCAGTGTGAGCCAGCCCTGTGGCCCTGCAGCTTCCAGTCCTCCCAGCCCCTTTCCGGCACAGGATCTGCTCCTGGTGCTTCTCCCTTTGGATGCTGGATCATTCCCTGTCGCTGTGTTGTGGCCTGCAGCTGTGCCCTCACCTCCCATCCCCTCTGCCCCTTTCTCTCACAGAATATCACACTGAGTCACCTGATTTCCCCAATAATCCTGCCTGGTTCTCCATGCTGGACTCTGAGAGCATCAGGGCTTGCTGGGCAGTGATGGTGTTGGGTGTTTGATGTTCACAGCGTGCAGGCAGAAAGAGAGGGCCAGGGAAAATGAGAAACAAATCCAAAGGGATTTTGGCTGGGGGAGGATCTCAGTGATCAGTGGAGACTCCCTGGAGCATCCCCATGGGATCAGCTCTGGTGGCTGCCCCCAGGGGAAGGAGGGTTGTGGCCAGGTCCCTGGCAATGCTGGGAACACTTAGTCCTCCTTGAAGTATATATCCTAATTTGTGGTATGAAAAGATTAGCTTTCCTTCCATTCCTAGCCTGCTGTCTCCCCACCATGGATAATACATAAAACAGTAGACTTTTATTCATTAACATTTATGGGAAAATGTTAATATTAAACTGTAAGTGAAAAGCCCCATCTTATTGAATTCTTCTGCTGTGTTATTGGGAGCCTAATTTCATTTTGCATTTAAATAAAAACCAGATGACGTTCAGGACAGTCAGGCGAGCATTCTGTAAGTGAGAATTTATCTTCCAATCTGGGTAAACAGTGTCTCATCATTTAACAGTTATTATAAATAATGGGGTTTTAAGCACTTTGCTGGGAGTTCATATTGGCTCCACACGGGTTGCACTAAGGGAGAGAGAATTTCAGTGACATCTTCCAGGCATCCGGTGAGGAGGAATCATATCCTGAGCTCCTTCTCAAGCTGCAGTTTTCATCCTCCTCTGGTTATTATTGCTCAATATTGTGTGCACCATCCACTGACCAAAAAAAAATGAAGAGGAAGGAAAATGACAAATTGGTTGGAAACGTTTTGAAAATGAAGAAACCCTGTTTGAAGCTTCCCCATAAAAGGGGAATGTGTTCAGCCCCCTGCAGATGTTCATGCAGGTAGCTGAGCCTCCAAAAGGGAGATTCTTTCAGTAAAAATGGGGCTGTGTAAAGTTGTGCTGCCTTTTTCTGCGTGACCCCTTTTATACCATTTTCCAAAAAGACCCGCACAGCTAAAACACCATCTTCTTTTATTTGTTTATTTACTTATTTGGGATATTTATTTGTTGTTCCTTTGGTCAGTGACTTTCTCAGTAACTGCCCAACACATGAACTCTGTGTTTACACCAAAGCTTGATGGTGTTGTGAAAGACAAAGGGTCAGTATCACTTCTCTGACCCTTTCCAAAGATGTTTTTTTGTGGGAAGGCTGCAGGCAGGACCTGCCCTGCTGCCTCTGCTCCAGCTCAGTGGCATAACAGGGGATGCAGGAGCCAGAGGGGCTGGAGAGTCCTGGTTGGGGTGGGTGGCATGGAAATGGGGGCATTTTCCTAAAAAGAAAATTTCCACTGCCCTGTGTTGTGGAGGGTGCTTGGACGTGTTGCTGTGCTGGAATTCTCCTCAGGCAGAGCACAGCGTTCCCATGGGTGGCATCTCCCATCTGTTCCCACATGCCACAGCTATTCCCCACCTTGTCAGGTAGAAATTTCATTTGGAAGCACAAATCAAGAGACAAATTAACCTTGCAGCCTTCTTCCCTCACCTGCAGCCACAGAGGCAGCAGTGGGAGGTGAATGGTGCAAGGACAGGCCCTAATGTAAAATCTGAGGGTGCTTTTTGTCCTCCACTCAGGGCTACTTTTATCCACACCCTCTGGAAAAATATCTTTTGATTAAATCACGCCAGGGCTGTGTTGTCTCTTTGGTTCATCTTTTGGAAATGTGACAGGTCACCCACCAAAATATAAGCAAAAAGTCTACAGAGGAGCACAACACGAGGAGCAGGTGATGTGAACTTCACTGCCAGGTGCCTAAATACAGGGCAGAATTTAAATTGATGATTTAAATTGCTTTTTCTGGGGGATGTGACCAGAGGAATGCCTTGGTTTGCCATTAGGTCTTTCAGGTTTCACACAGAGTTGCCTTCCACCAGCTCCTCCACCAGCTGCAGCTCATCCACACATTTGTAAGAGTGCAGCTACAAAGATGGAGTGTAATAGAATCAATGCTTGCAACAATTTTTAAAATATGACTTTCAAAAAGCAAAAATGTTGAATTTACCATTTCCAGCTGCCTTCTGGTTTCAGGAGCACAAATGTGAATTGTTGTGTTCAACAGCTCCATTAACAAAGAGGCAAATTAAGCTTCAAATGCCATTTTTTATCAAGGCTCTTTCATATTTATGTCTAACATCACAATTTGGAGCTATAGAAATAAGAGAGATTATATATTTTTAAATATACATTTATATATTTATATATTTTATATATTTATATATTTTATTTATATAAGTATAATATATATAAAATATATTTTATATAATATATAATATATATTTTATATATTTATAAATATATATTAAATATTATATATATTCGAAATATATTTTATATATTTAAATATATGTTATTATATGTATATTATATCAATAATTTTATATATGTTATTTATATATATAAATATATAACTACAAATATAAATATAAATATAAATATAAATATAAATAATATAATATAATATAATTGAGAGCCTCAAACAGCCCTGCAAGAGAGGGAGCCCATGAGACTGGGCTGGGGTTTTTCCAGGCTGGGTTAACACTCAGTCAGGGTAGAGCTGTGATTTTAAGGGAATGGCTGCAAGCTCTGAGTGCTTTGTAAAATGAGGGCTGTGTTTACAAAGCTGGTCTGCTTGAAGCAGCCATGTCAACATCATCTTTTAAAAAATGGAGTGAATAGACTAAATAAATTGCAT